AATATCAAACAAATAAAAAAATGACGGACGAACAGGTCGAAAACATATTAAAAATGAGTTATATGCAATTATTCAACTCAGAAGTCTGATGTTAAGTATTCTTCAACGCTGTAAAACATTGAAATTGGTGGCAGCTCTGATATCAATGACAACTTGTTGAACAATTTGATAGGCATTATGAGGGGACCTTTTGAGATTGTAACCACTCTCCATTTACAGGATTCGCACTCATGAAAGACAAGGTTACTGTAGAGCAGGAGGAACAAATTTTAAATATCGTGGAAATCAGTGCAGATATCAGCACTCGGGAATTAGGCCGCCGCGTAGTGCTATCGCATACCATAGTCCATACGTATATAATCCTACGGGGAAAATTAGCTTTATCCCTACCATGTACGTGTGCAGGCCTTGTTGCAAGAAGACTATCCTCGCGGACTAACATTCTGTCAGTGGTTTTTGCACAAAAACATTGAAAATCCGGATTTTTTTAAAAACATTCTAGCGACGGACGAATGTACTTTTACGCGAGACGGGATATTAAATTTCCATAATACTCACACGTGGACGCAAGAAAATCCTCATACCATTCGTGAAGATCGTAATTAAGCTGCTGTGGAAAGTGGAGGATGACATTTTGGACACCATCATTAAATACAAAAAACTGCAGTGTGGGTTTTAAAAAGAAAAACAATGTATGTATCAAAATTTTGTTCTCTATTTATAAGTGGATTTTTTAATACGTTCAATAAACTTTCACACACCAGGTGAAGCGCTGAGACAGTTAGAGTTAAGTCCGTTTTTTTAATTGTTTGCATTTCACGAGTACATTATCAAATGATGAAATGATTCCTAAGAGCCAAAATAACCAACTCCATCTCTATTTGCACTGCGTTCCGTCGTAATTCGCATCTGGCATTGCGGCGTTGTCAGATTTTATTTTACTTTAAAGTCGCTTTTCTCTAAAAAAATGCCTTTTTGCCCCCCATGTTATATGAAACTTTTTGCTTCCTTTAGCCCCCTCTATCACCCATTTAAATAATGACTATCATAATGTTTACACCCTGTATATATGTATAGTGATATAAAGTGAGTATATCGTCGTGATGTGGAGAGTTTTGAATAGCTCCCGATAAGAAGTAAGCTTATTACTAAAAGTTATTATACGAATCACTTTCTTTTTCACAAGTAGCAAGTCCGACATGTGTGAGCTGCTACCCCAGGAAAAGATACAGTACTCATAGCGGATTGTAAGTGAGCAAAATAAATTCCGTTTATTTTAAGGTCTATATCACAATCTGTCTCTCGAATACCAAAATGCAGCAGTGGCATCTTCTGTTCATTAAGTACATACTAAGGTAGTACTTGCCATATGCTCGGTGTCCACAAGATCATGCCTGCGACTTCCGTCTAATTTTTCACCGTCACACTGCTCGAGCAGGCGAGCATAGCATGGAAGACGTTGCCAGATTGTCGATACTCCCAGTAAGGGCATAGAAGAAGCTTATGGATTGTAGCGTTCTCAAATGGATCGTAGTACGGAACTAATTGTATTGGCCTGTTTGGCTTACTTGATCCGTTTAGGTCCTTTTTGTATTATACATGTTCGTAGATATCTTCTTATATCTAATAAGTACAGAGTCAACCTGCTTGACGCCTTTTTTTCTGAACATTCGACCATAATGAGTATTCGATTAGGAATAAAGGTATTATTTCGGTGAATCCGTGAAAATAAAAGGTGCTTTAAAATCTGCAAGCGGTTATATAAGGAACAATTAATCCACCAATCCCTCTATGCATAATGTATACTATCTACATACCTCCCATAAGGCGGTACCGGTTCCACCACACGCCTGCAGTATGGCGACTGAAATGTGACGGTACACAGTCTCGCTCGAGTATGGTCGAACTCGTTTTATTCGTATTAATGAAACTTTCTACTGGAACCACCTGCATTAGCCAATGGTACGCCTTACCGTTCGACAGTTATGTATTTGAACCTGCATAGCGTACTACGGAATACATAGGATATACTGTGTCTGAGTTTGTGCATAACCAAATTGCGAATTTGTTCCTATACAGGGTGTCCAAAAAGTCATGGATCAAATGAGAGGTGGGGTCATTTTTAACCAGAAAAAGCCATAAAGTTATCGCCATTTCTAAGAATATTTAGAAAATCGGTACTTTTTTGACTGTACTATTTTTTCTGAAGTTGTCTTTTGCTATTTCCCAATAAGCTTCACAGGATGTTTCCAAATAATGTGTCGTTCAAAAAAAGCTATCAATGAAAAATTAGTTCAAGTAATATAGGTAGAGCAAGCAACTAAACCGCAATTTTGTTTGTTATCAAAAATATTACAGCATATCCTACAAGGCCTGCACAAAAAATTAATGGGCAGATAAACCGTCCATAGGTATGAAAAACTTTCGTATAGTATCGCCTTCTTTTTATTAACCTATTTTTACTACTTACAAAATGTCAAGGCAGCCACATCTTATATTAATTAGACCTGACATTGATTTTAATTCTTAGATTCATTGTCCCTTAATCGTCTTATAACTCTAGCCGGAATGTAGACGATTCATGGTACCTACAAAATTTTGTCTATCTTGTGCAGAAGCTATGTAGCATATCTGTTTACTTAACCCCTGATTTCATTCTGAGTCATATATGATTCGTACCAATATTGATATTTTTTTAAGCTCGATAATTTAAAGAGCGAATAACTGAATATTTGGGACCGAGGAATAAACACGTTAAAATAATGCCCACGCTGTTTCGACAAAACATAAGCACGTTGAAGTAATACCTACGTATATTTTGGTGAAAGAAAAAATAGCTGTTCACAGTTGTTAGTTGTTAAGCTTAGGAAATAATTTTAATTTTCCCAAGGTTACATAGAAAACTTGTTTTGATTCATATACGGGACATGATTCGGTTATAAGTACCTATGTAGTTATAACGGTTATTTTGGTTAGAAATGGATCAGAAAATATTTTACGGAAGCAGTAAATATGTTACGAATGTACCGTAAATTTAAAAAAACTCAATGAATATTTTTTCAATTATTTTTTATCTAACTTGTGCATATCTTTTCCCATTGAAAATAAAAAAAATATATTATTTTCGAAGGTCATAATATCCAGAAGTTTTTCATAGCTATGACACCTTATCTGCTCACTAATTTTTTCAACCGGCCTTGATGAATATGCTGTAATATTTTTGATAACAGACAAATAATGTTGTTCAGCCAAATGCTCTACCTATAATACTCGGACTAATTTTTCTACTAATAGCTTATTTCAACGTCACATAATTTGTGAACTACGCTGTTAAGCTGATTGAGAAACTGCAAAAAACAAATTAAGAAAAGAATAGTACAGTCTCAAAAGTAGCGATTTTCTAAAAATTCTTACCGAACTAGATGAGGTTTCATATTCGACGGCTTGATAGAGATATCAAAAAATCTCATTTATTTCTAGAAAACCCTGTGTTGCGTCCCTTAGCGTACTTATCTTTCAACTGAACGTTGTATTAGCAGATCTGGATAATTATTTAAGGAGTAACACTCTGTATGATGCTTAGGCTGTAGTCACGTTTTTGGTAAGATACTATATACAGAGTGTTCTAAAAGTTGGGACTTTCCTTCTAAGAGTGCAACTGCGTTTGCAAAACCTAAGACAATTTGCGACAAAACAACACCGAAAGAATAAAAAAAATTGAGAAAAATGCTCACCATTCATTTGGTTACGAATTTCAAGTACTGCCCTGTCACATGTTTTGTTTGTAATCACTGCTTGAAGTTGTCTCTGTTCGATTCAAAAACACTAGTCTGTTTACCTCTTCCTAAATTTGCAATATTTGGGACTGTCTAGGTCTTCAACTGTGTTCAACCGGACAGACGGCTTTTGCACAATATAAACAAACATATGATGGAAAGAAAAATCGAGGACGACGGCGACGTGCTGCTGAGTACACTCGCGAAGTATCAATACGATTTTGAAGATGCCGCATCAAATCGATAACTACGTTATTGCTCTAGGAATTTCAATAATTATCAATAAAACTTTTTCATTGGCACTTTTCAGACACTACAAGATGGTGTTTTATATTTTGTGTCCGACGTTTCGTTTTTGAGAAACCATCATCAACTTTATTTTTACATGTGTCGAGAAAAAAGTACAACCTGCATCTTTTTCTACGAGTTCAACGATGTATCACATGTTACATTTTTGTTTTCTTAGTTATAAAGAAACATTTGTTTTTTATTTTTTAAAAGATGTGATTACTATAACTTTTCTTCATTCCTAACATGACCGTCTGGCATATTTGTCGATAATAAAGCAATATTAACAATAGGTACTGAATAATAACAATACACTAGCAATACAGTTACAGGAATTTACGTCAAGTATTTGCAACGCCTACTTAATAAAATCAGGAAAAACGCATTTTCCTTATAACCAAAAAAATAATGTAACAATATGTGATACATCGTTGTATTCTTTTAAAAAAATGCTATTAGAATCAGGATGTACTTTTTTGGACGATATAAAAAAATAAAGTAGATGATGGTTTCTCAAAAAACAAACCATTTAACACAAGATTTAAAAACACCATCATGCAGTGCCTAAAAAGCGCCAACGGAAAAGTTTTATTGGCCAAATTTTAGTTTTTCCAAATATGTCAGTAATCTTTGAAATTTGTACAAGTTTCTCAACGGTAAATACACTCCAGAGAACGCAACTTTTTCCTAATCTAACCTAAGCTATATCTCCCACTGGTATTGGAATCCATGCAGAGGATCTTTATCCTGCACACCCATTCATATGTTGCTAAAAAAAAATGCTTATTATGCATGTAAAGGAAAGTTCCAGCTTTGAGGACATCCTGTACATTTAAATGCCTCTTCAGTACTTTTCCTTATGTATGAACGAAAAAAGGTACAGGTATTGAACAATAGCCAGGTAGGTATTTCTGTTGACGAAAAAATGACAAAAACCTCTTGGGCAAAGAGAGCACCAGAGCACGGAGTAACCGGACTGAAACTCCCAATTACGGCAGCAGCATCAACGTCAGCCAGCCTCCAGCCTCCAATACACTCGAAACTTCAAAACGAAAAACAATCAAATTCGAAACAAAGGGGCACAATTAAAACAAAAAGCTATACGAACGGTGGCACGGCATCCCCAGTTAATCAGTAAAATGGCGTCTACTGTTTTCCCATGTGTTTTTATTGTTTTGTAAATTAAAACAGCGGCAACAATGGGGCTTCGTGGGCGGAAAGGGGCAGCAGCGAACGTGTGCGACAGCGAGATTGTGGGGGCGGGAGACTCAGGGGGCGGCCACCCCCTCGCGCGGATGCAGCCTGATACCCTGGAGACCGGATTTCCCCACTTTCTGAATATACTTAAAAATAAAGCTTCGACTTTAGCGATATGGCATTGCCGCAGTTTAAAATGAGTATATGTAATGGATGGAAAGATGGCATCAAGCAGGTTGACTCGCTACTTCCCATGCAGCTATGTCATCAATTTGTTTGTAATCTAATGCCATATGGACTATGATTAAAGAAAGTTACGAACATGTATAATAGAGAAATTAAACAGATCAAGTCCGTCAGATAGTTCCATGCAATTAGTCCAAAGACATTATTTCCCGTAGTACTGGGCATCTGACAACGTCGCCACTCCCCAATACCTGATTGCATGATTCGGCAACGCGTACGTAACGCCAGTCATGCAACGACACTTATGAAGACCGGCACGTCGGCAAGTGAAGACATATAGCAGAGGCAGGGACGCGTGTCGAAAAAATGTTTGTATCGTTTAAGGGCAAATCTAGGAGCAAATGTATAATTGAAATATGTCTAATAGGTGCAAAAAACTACCGGGGTTGTAAGTGTATCAATATTCTAACATTGAAAAAATTTCGAAACACCCTCCGCCACCCCCATTTTCTACCTCTAAAAAATGATCAAAATCCACTGAAACACCAAAGAACGAAATTTTGGCGATTTTATTAATTTTATATTTTTGACGCTTTTTCAGCCGTTTTTCTTGGCATAGTAGTAATCTTGTGTAAAATTTACATCCAAATCCAAACTGTATTGTCTAAGTAGTATAGGCAGATAAAGGATTTACGGACAGACAGATCATCAAACAGACCAACGGAAACCAGTGAAATGCCTTTTCGTGATATAAATCAAATTCAAGCGAATAACCAAATGAAAGTGGTATTTACCATTTTGGATTGGTATTTACCGATCCGTTCAAGCGTATGTGGTTATCAGTTTGGTTATAAGATCCGTGACGTCATGAATCAGCTATTATATGTCATAGTTATCACCGTAAAATTGTGGTACTTACCCAACTCAGGAGTAGTTTTATATTTCTGGTTATTATTTAAAATGTGACAAGAATTTTACCGGGTATTGGATATTTTTATTGTACTTCAGCTTCATTTTTGGGAAACTTAATACAGGCTTTGGCATGCGGAAACGTTTAGAGGACTTAAAGTTATCATAGCTACAAAGCCTTGGTTCCATCATTAAAAAACTTTTTATGAAAAAAAAAGCATTTCTTCCATTATCGTCAACCCGTGTGTCATGTTGAACTATATTATAACAGAAATTTTGGTTATTCGCTTGGATTTGATTATACTCGTACATGTCATATTCATTCAAGAAACATTCGTTTCACGGAGACTCTCACAACCCCTCTTCACAAGACGTCATTCTTCCGTAATTAATAATAATATTTATTATCCATCTAACATGAAAATACATGTATTGGGCTTGTCAGAAATAAATATTTGCAAGCTAATGACTTGATAGACTGACTGCACTTAACTTTTGGGGAAGTTTATTATAAATTCAAGTCCCCAACACATTTGGCGGCTTTCTTGCAAAATTATTTGGCGAAAGGTGTATGTAGACTATCGCTCTGCCTTGTACTGACTCCGTAGATGTGCTTATTTAATAAAAAATTATGTCGGTTCGAGAAGGTGTATATGCCCATCTCGAAAATAGATAATGTGGGCATGGTGAGTATAATACACTATTTTTTATGAGTTGAAAGCCCTTTATTACAAAAGTATGCACAGCTTCCTGAGAAGCCCAGATTTCTGAGAAACTTAGAAATTTTAATTCGGTAAACTCTTCTAAAATGGTACATAGTACGCTAATTTTGAATAAATTTAGACACTGAGTGTTGCGAAGAAGAATATTGCTTTACATACAACGCAATCATTCATTATAACGAAATTTCACAAACCCTAAAATTGTTGACATGAAGAATTGAAAAAACGTGTCAAAAACATATTTTGAGCAAACATTCTTCACGATTTGCTCAAGTTTACCTCTCACTTCACAAAAATATTCCAATGCTGATTATAATTCACATCTTTGCAGATATACCTGTTATATTTTATATTTTCTTTCAAGATATTTTAATACAACATATTTACCTTATACGTATTTTATATACCTACGCTTTAGCTCATTATTGTAACATTGAAATCTGTTATGGTTTGTACAGGGTGGCCAATATATAACTGACTGATTTAAATTGCGCGCCATTTTTGAAACACGCATCTCAGTAGGTGACGCCGTAGTTGTTTTTTAAAGCATATATGTTTGTGTCCAATTCATCATGGTGCGCTACACGATCCGAAAGCTCCTCCGTATTATTAAAACGTTTTACTTACATAATGAGTCGATTGTTGCAACGATTAGGAAGCTACGATAAGATTTCGGTCGAAATAATGTGTCCAGTGTCAACACCATTCGTCAGTTTGTGCACAAATTTGAACAAACAGGTGAAGTTAAAGACTTGTCAAGGTCGAGCCGTGTTCGAACCGTTCGTACTCCGGAAAATATCGAGAGAGTTCGTGAAAGTGTAGTGACGCACCCTGAGGCGTCTACCAGACATCGTTCTCCAGAACAGTACAAAATTCAGTTAACTCAAGGACTACAACCCAGTTACTATGAAAGTCGCCAACAATTCAGTCATGCAGTATTGCAGCTTAATACCCAAAATAACGATTTTTACCGGCAACTGATAATGAGCGATGAATTCCACTTCGATATGAACGGAATTTTTAATAAGCAGATTTGTCGTATCTGGACATTAGAGAACCCTCGTGTCGTCTATCAACGACCTATAAATCCTCGTCGAGTCACAGTTTGGTGCGATGTTTGGTACGGAAGTGTCATTGGACCTTATTTCTTTGAAGACGCTGCAGGTAATTCCGAACTAGCAAAGTAGTGGTATAAGCTATTGGTAAAAGAACCATTCAGCCATAAAAGCTCTCTATTGTTGTTGCCTGAACACCAAAATGCTGGCTTAATGTTGTGTGGAATGCAAATTTGATTTCTGCAACATATTTGCTCTAAAATGAGGTGTTTAAAATATTCTTATAGCATAGTTATACAACACCTTATAGGGCAAATTTTTAACTGTTGCATAAACGTTTATACAACTATTTTATATGGCATATTTGCAAGTTAGTCAAAATGGTTGTGTTGTGGCATCCATGGTAACGTTTATAAAACAAACTCGAGCCTTGTTGTTTTGCTGTGCAATTTGCTGCTTTAACCAACAAATTGCTGCCAACGGAACCACTTATACAACTGTTGTTTAGTAACTGTTAAAGGCTGTACATATGCTAAATATGTTGGTAAACAACTTCACCATAACCTAACTTTCTGCTGTCATATTTTTTTTAAAATCCCATAACCAATGTTTTAAGACAAACAACGCATGCATATTGGTTCAAAAGGTTTTATCAACTGTTCAACCAGAAGATATAGATCTGGTATAAATTCTGAGTAAATCATTCGACTCTGTCGGTATTTCATTTCAGGCATTTGTCAAATTGCTGTATAACACCTGCAGGCAACACCAAAATATTCTAATAACCTAAACACAACATGGACGATGCCATGATTGTACACAACCATCCGCCATATTGGGCAAAGATTTATTCCTCTATTTAATATTAAATAATTATGTTTCAGATCGAAATTACAGATATAAAATGATAAAAATTAGTGTAATTGTGTCTAAATATAGGATTTGTGGAAGATTTAACGCAGATAAGTTCAATTTTCCATCTTAAAAATATAGACATCATTTTGATCATTGTCAAAATATGAATCAAATACGAAGCCCGTAGAAATTGGATAACTAATTTGCACGATAATCACAATAAAATTTACTGCGCAAGTAATTCAATAGCCCTATATTGCAGTGTAGAAGTTATCATATACTTGTGTATGAAATTCACAATGGCCGATATGTAAGTAAACAAGATGACTGTAATGTGTTAGTTATATATTCTTCACTTCGTCTATACAATACATAAGAAATAGTTTGGTTGCAATAAAGTAGAATCACGTAACAGAATAGTTGTATAGTTGACAAAAACTGAATCTTGCACTGACGCAAATGTCCTATAGCGGCTACAAGAGGCTTACACTTTTGTTTCATAACTGTTACCTGCAGGCCTTATACAACGTCTTAAATGACTGAAGTGTCCTATTAGGTGTGCCCATTCCGCTTGTATAGCTGTTCTAAGAGGGTTTTGCCAATGTTCTTACAGTATACAATGCTGTATAATCATTCTTGCAACTCTAATATGAGTGATAATTGTTAGTTGGGTTATCTTATTGTCACTGGCGAGCGCTACCGTGATATGGTGCAAAACTTTCCGGCTGCTCAAATCCAACAATTTAACCTGCAAAACGTGTGGTTCCAGCAGGACGGATCAACTTGTCACACAGCTAGGGAAACAATTAATCTTTTGCGCACTATATTTCCGGGACGTTTAATTTCTCGATTTGTTGATGTCAACTGGCCACCAAGGTCACCGGATTTAACGGCTCCTATCTCTTATTTCATGGGGATTTTTGAGAAGTAGAGCTTATGCCAACAAACCAAATACTGTAGAGCAGCTGAAGAACAATATTACGGAAGCGATTGAAAATATTCCTCCCTGTATTTTGCATTAGTAGTAACCTTGGTGTGAACATTTCATCTAAAGTTGAATGGTACTTTCCTGGTTATGGACGGGTTAGCGATCAGACAGACATTTTAGGCATTGCGAG